TGTTGAACGTAGGTATTTGAAGGTGAATTGGGAGCCAAACATGTAAAGCAAGTCTTTTGCTCACCATCGCGTATACTCAGTCAGTAAGATTAGGTCAGCTAGAGGCTCAACTACCATATCGCTGAAATAATTTGATTGGGCACTGCTTCTAAGGCGGTTCCATTCCACCGTACTTTTTAATTTTTTAGGGTATGACATTCTCAGCACTGGCTAGAAAGGAAGGAACCACGAAACGTTCCAAATATGTTAAGGATACATGTGTTCGCCTATCGCGGTTTCTGGATGTCAAAGTAGCAAATGAAAGTTTTGCATATCTAGAGAACCTGAACTTAATTTATCATGTCCAGATAAGAGAAGCTCTCTATGTAATGAAGCATGACGTTACATCATTCTTGAACGGTACGAACTGGAATGTAGTCGAAACTCAAGTAAGAGAATGTCTTGAGAAAAATGCAACTGAGATGGAAAATGAGATGGTAATAGCGAAATGTTTGCATATACAATTTTGATGTTTTTTAAATGTTTATTAGCTACTACAACAAGAAGAAAGTAGTCTTGACGACACTTCTGATGAGGAGCAAACCGGGAAAAGCGAAATTAGTGGTGACGTTGTTGACGCTAGAATTGGGTTATATGGAATTTTGTTAGCAAGGGTAAGCTAGACGTTTTTATGATTACAGTAGTATGATATACATAGTAGATAGGGTTGCAAAATGCAAAATTTCGCAAATCTTATAAGAGAAAAGAGCTCAATTAGTCACTACACCTATAAAGCTGCAAATATCGCGATCTAAAACCGTGGACTCAGTGTAGAGTTACGGAACCTACACATGGTACTATTTTCATCAAACTTTGCACACATACGATTTTGCGAAAAACAAGTCACACAAGCTACCTTATCTGCGCTGCCAGCGTTTTTTGTCTGGACTGCTAGACATTATTGAGTAGAGTGGTTGGCCGCCTTTGCTACAAGTATGATACTATCTAAAATACCGTTTGATTCCGGAGAATTATTCTATTCTATTATTATTATTATTATATGATTATTCTATATATAATATATAATTATTCTATTCTAATTATTCTATATATAATATATAATTATTCTATTCTATTATTATTATTATTATTATTATATAATTATTCTTAGAGCAGCTTAATCAACCATAGCATCACTTTTATCGCTTTCTGATGAAACAATAGTGGATTGCCATACGTAACTCCACAGTAAGGTCATCAACGCGAAATGGACATGATTTTGTGGTCTAGATATTGAATGGCTCCCTTAAACTACTCACCAAACAAGACTGTGATTTTATTCTACAGTAGACATAATGCGCGAAACGGGCATAACTTCAATCAGCATATTAGAGAACAAATCTCTACCCTTATGCATACCGCACGAATCACTGGTGAGATGTCAGGTGAGCGCAGAAAAAGCGCGCTCCTCTAACGGCAGAAAGCAAAAAAACGGCGCAGTCGTCAATGTGTTGAGGAATGTTTGGCCACTAAAATGTGTTGCGTTCAGGTACATGATGCCTGGGCTCGCGGTGTTATCTCCGGAAGCACAGCTCGCGTCATTATTGCAATCTTAGAGCATGGCATTGATGAAGGCAAAATTACTGCTGATGACGTCGAACATCATCTAAAGATAATTGAACTCAATTACTTCGACAAATTAATGTACAAAATTTCGGAGGTTCTTTTTGTAAGTCGATTTTTTATAAGGACTTGTATTGCCAAACAATATTGAGTTTTAGCTTATTTCCTGTAAATTTGTTAACTTTTAAATCGTAAGGAAATTTTTTTA